CTTCAACGATAAGCACGGAAGTCATATTTAGTTGCCGGCAATTGACCGATAGGGTGCTGCTTACAGTTGAATCAACACCACATCATGATTGGACAAGCGGCAAGAGACGTCAGTAACATGAGTAACATGCCTAGCCCAAGAACCGGAACCCTTCAAGGCCAATCCTTTGCCCGTGCTCTGATTTCAGCAGCCAAACAACCAAGAGGAATCTCACTGCGAGCGGCGATCAAACGACAGCTTCAGCAAGTCATCTTTGGGCTTGGTCTCGGGAATGGTTTCGATGGCTTCGGACTCGGCGCTCCAGTTGCACCAGTCATACTCGGACCAGGCCCTCTGCTGGCTCCACGAGGAGCCATCGCACTGGCTCGGGGTCTCGTTCATGGGATTCATGGGCATGCTCATCGTCCTGAGCTGCTGTTGGCCCTTCACGCCATGGTAAACCTGTACAACAACATGATCTACACGCAAGTCGCCCACTTCGCAAAACGAACAAACTTGCCAAGCAAGCGGGATTCGTAATGATGTTGCCCTGCAGATCCATAAAAACGGCCATGGGGGCCATGCCATTGTTTGTTGGTGCCACATGCATGCCCGGGTGGACATTCATGTCCATGCTCCCCACAGGGCAAAAGCCCGCGCCGTGGCAATTTGGCAAGTTCACCTCGCCCATGTTGCTCATGTTCTTCTGAATCAGGCAAGGCATGTTGGGACACATCACCTGGTACATCGGCGCTCCGCAAGCAAAAGCCATGGAGGCCATGACGCAAAGAAGGAGCAGGTGAGGTCCTACCGTCTCGCTTGGCGTAAGCTGCTGCACGCAACAAGCACATTGACATAGTGCAAGCGGCTCAAATGATGACACGCGAGCAATACTATACCAACCATGGAAAAGGCTTGATTCACAACCCTACCCTTTCCAGCGCATGTCTTTTTCAAACCGATCATTGAAATTCTGCTTCAGGCTCCATGCTAAGCAAAGCAGTGGAGCCGGCCGACGGTGGCATGTTGGCGTCGACGCCGTTGCCTGGCGTCCACGCCGTTGCGTCATATGTGGCCAAACGCGTGTCGATGAGAATCGGTTATCGGCTACAACGTCACAAGCTACAGAACAAGTCTCGAAGCGGGCACATCGAGGCGAGCAACAAGGTGCACCACCGCTATTCGCAGCACGTAGCTTGTCTGCAAGACCAAGGATCCTGCAGACAAGCTCCGTGCTGCGAATAGCGGTGATGCACCAACGTCGCATCGGCAACAAAGGCTTCAGCGGGATATCTACAAGTTGCAGCAGGAAGGAAGAAACTTGACTGGGCGCTAAACTATAGTCTGGAGAACAAAGCGCACACACGTCCCCCTTTTGGTTTCCTTTCTTGGGTAAATTAGACCTTAGCACCCATCTAATTTCATGAATTATGCGGCCAGTGTACCAGAACACTGGTGGTGCTGGTATCTATATGGCCTTGATCGTGGAACTTTCACGAGGCCTGTGTGGCAAGCATTCACACTGCGCAAATCCAGGGCTGAAAGTCAACTCAAAGGAAGCCTCACACTGCACAAATTGCTGGCAAATTGGCATTCGGCTGGTTGGGATCCACTGCCGGAGCCTCCCGGATGGCGCAGTGACCCTTGAAACGTGGGTGTGTGTGTGTGTGTGTTTTGGTTTTTGTGTCTGTGTGTGTGTGTGTCTGTGTCAGAAACCACATGATACCTCAGCACCCCCCTGCGCCCCACACAAACGCCCAAGAAGTGACACATGGATCCTCCAGGTTGGGTCGAGGGGGCCAGCTCCAGAAATACCGTCGGCCCGGTGTGGGCTTCCAGGCAACATGACGCCGTGCAGCATGGCACCGTGTCAAAGATCATGGGATTGGTTGGTCAACATGTTCCGCTCGGTGAGCCTGCTTTCGCACTGTTCACCCCCAAGTCGGCCCCTGGCCCGACCAAAACGGACGCCTTGATCAGCTCTTGGACAATCGCCTTCTGCTCATTCACCTCCCCATAGCTCAGAAGAACATCCACCAGGGTGCAGCCCTTGTCGTTCCTGCGACGTTTTGGCTCTAACGAGGGCAACCGCATGCTTGAGGTTCACCCGTGTTTGGCCGGCCGGCAGAATCTAACCTCTTTTTTCTGTTAGCCAGGGAAGTCATCAAACAAATGCCAAAAAAACTGGAGACAACGAAGTCTAGCACCAAGCGGTGAAGTCTATGCATCCAAACCACTCAGAAAACTTAACCGCCGTAGAACTGGCCAACAAACGCGAATCGTCGAAGCAAAAGGGCAGGTGGATCTCGAGAATTCCGCACTCCCTGGGAACACGCTCAGCTTGGTCCTTTGTCTGGTCTAAGGGAAACCAAAAGGCCGCCTTCCCAATATCCCCCCTCCTGGCTGCTTTAAAAGGGAATGCCAACAGGAAACCTCCACTCTCTAAAGCAAGGCCAAACCAATCTCGTTGCCAAAACGGTCTTCCCAACAAGTGGCTCAAGGAACTCACCCTGCACAGATTCAACAAAACGATGCAGGTTGGGATCCAACCCGTACAAGTGTGCAATCAGCAAACAAATTCCTAGAATGACCCCCGACTTGACTGCTCAGTTCACAATCCATTAGGCTTGAAGGCTCCTAAGGTCAAAGTGCAGTACATCGAAGGGGTCGAGGGACCAACCCTTCCATCCAAAGACCTCCCCCCAACCGAAAGCCTTGCTAGGCAATCGGGTGTAGTTCCGCAGGGGGTAACACTTCAGTTTGCCTCTTGGCTTTCGTAAAAATGTAGCCACACTTCAAGAGCTCCATGAGGAGTGTATGGTCTGTGCATGTGTCTTTCTCGAGTGTTCATTTGGCTGTTTTGAGGGAACGCCCCACCCTCCTTTGGGGTTCGGTTCCCTCGAAAAAGGTGCTCACCAATTCGACCCGCTTTGTGCTTTTGGTGATGCGGTGATGCAGAACCCTTTTCGGACAAACCCAAAGGCGACGCCCGCAATTTTGGGTTTCCTCCGCGTGGTCCACGAGGCTCTTCAACATGCCGGCGATGGGCTCCTCAGCAAAGTGCTCCAGGATCGTGGGCTCGGCCAGAAGCCCACGCCTTGGCAATGCGACCAGTCAAACCTGTTGGCTTCCCGCTACCGCTACATGTTCCCTGTAAACAGCACCTTCCAAAGGGCAACTCCGTCCAAACTGCAGCACCACTGTGTTGAGAGACTCCCGAAATATACAACTGTCCTTATTCAGGCATGCTTCGCATGTTGGGAGCCTTCGAATGGCTACAGCGCCCACTTAATATCAAACCTCTGCCAGACTTGGAACTGATCCTCATCGGGGGTCATGTTTCTCCCCCTTTAAAGATACGCAGCAACGGTTCAAAGGCAGCGGACAAGTGTGGAAAGAACAACTTGTGCTTCAACGATAAGCACGGAAGTCATATTTAGTTGCCGGCAATTGACCGATAGGGTGCTGCTTACAGTTGAATCAACACCACATCATGATTGGACAAGCGGCAAGAGACGTCAGTAACATGAGTAACATGCCTAGCCCAAGAACCGGAACCCTTCAAGGCCAATCCTTTGCCCGTGCTCTGATTTCAGCAGCCAAACAACCAAGAGGAATCTCACTGCGAGCGGCGATCAAACGACAGCTTCAGCAAGTCATCTTTGGGCTTGGTCTCGGGAATGGTTTCGATGGTTTCGCACTCGGCGCTCCAGTTGCACCAGTCATACTCGGACCAGGCCGTGTGGACATTCATGTCCATGCTTCCCATAGGGCACACGCCCGTGCCGTGGTGTTGCACACGTTCTTCTGAACAAGCAAGGCATGTTCGGACACATCACCTGATACATCTGTGCTCCACCTGCAAAAGCCATGGAGGCCATGACGCAAAGAAGGAGCAGGTGAGGTCCTACCGTCTCGCTTGGCGTAAGCTGCTGCACGCAACAAGCACATTGACATAGTGCAAGCGGCTCTCAAATGATGACACGCGAGCAATACTATACCAACCATGGAAAAGGCTTGATTCACAACCCTACCCTTTCCAGCGCATGTCTTTTTCAAACCGATCATTGAACTTCTGCTTCAGGCTCCATGCTAAGCAAAACAGTGGAGCCGGCCGACGGTCATGGTATGTTGGCGTCGACGCCGACATCTTGCATATATACATGTCAATGTGGCAGCACACGTGTCAGTGAGAATCCATTAAAACAATGTCAAAACAGCAAGGTTAAAACAATGTCAAAACAGCAAGTCTCGAATGGGGCATAGCTACTAGCGGTCCAGCGCACGTGTGTTCCACAGGGTCAGGAAAGCGTGCAACAAGATGTTGCCCTAAAACCGATGGTGGTTGCAAGACCAGCTCTTTGCTGCTTAAATCGGTGATGCACCAACGTCGCACAGGCAACATTGGCTTCACCGGATATCTACAAGTTGCAGCACAAAGGAAGAAGCTTGACTGGGTGCTAAATAGCGACTCTGGAAAAAGCAGCTCTTGGCTTTGTTTGGGTAAATCAAACATTGTTGGTTATTTAGCACCGAGTTAATAATGAATTAAGAGGCCACTGTGTACCAGCAACACTGGTGGTGCTGATACCTATATGGTCTCAAAAGTGGAAATTCCGCGCGGTCTGCGTGGCAGGCATTCACGCTGCGCAAGTGGATTGGTCACACTGGACACATTGCTGCCATTAAACTCGTCTGGGTCTCACATCAACAAGATTGGCATTCAGCTCATTGAGATCCACTGCCGGAGCCTCCCGAGATGGCGCAGTGACCCTTGAAACGTGGGTGCACGGTCCATGCGCAGAGACTGCGGGAGCGCTGTCCGGCTGTCTGTCTTGCACTCTTTCGACTAGCAAAGGTGCGCGCTCAATAACGGGCTGAGCGATGGCGGATTCCCATATTGCAAGGCACCCCAAAACCTTGCCTACAGAAAACTGGTGGGAACATCGGCCGGTTGGTTTACTTGCAATCAGGGCATCCACCGAAGGCACCTCAGAGTCGAAGTTAAAATCAATCGGCATTGTAGATGTCACGGATAAACCCAAGATCGGATAAGCCGAAAAGTCGTCCTGATGCTTTACTCTGGCTTAAGATCTCAAGGACACATCGACATGCCTTGGCAGAAGCAACAAGGTGCAACTGCGAGCCTGCAACCCTGGCGCGGCGCGGTCCAGACAACACACGCTCACTGCTGCTGCCATTTGCGGCACCATACGTCCATCTGACGCTGCAAGAGCAGATTCGCAGCCGGCATCTCCTCATGTCCCAGACAATGTTCATTGGTGGGTGTTCAATGGGTTCCCTTTTGGGGAGTCAAATAACAATCTCGGCATTCAGCTCGTTTCCCCTGAAATAACTCAAGCGCCAAGCGGGAGGAACTCACCGCGTCTCTTTGGATTCCGCACCTGGGCGATCTGAAGAATACCTCAGCTTCAAGCGCAAGCCTCCCTCGACCCGGAACCAGGTCCCCTGCCCCACAAAACCAGGTGTTTGCCATTACCTTGGTGGAATCTAAGGGAAACCCAAAGCTCTGGCAAAAGGGCGAGCAAAGCCAAACCAATGTTCAATTCTTGTGGTTTCATCGCCCACGCAAGGCTCGGAGCCATTAGGTACGTGTACTTGAGATTGAAAAAACAATAACAACTTGCCGGTCCAAGGGCACAGCGGGAAACGCCCTTCTGAGTGGCGGGACGGCGGGACCGGCGGGACCCGGGGAGGGGACGCTGCGCCAAGCTCAAAGCGAGATGCGCCACAGCGCATCAGTGGCGCCGTGGAAACGCTGCATTGAGGGCACCAAGCCCTTCACCTGCCACACAAACTACAAGGGAGCAATGGCAGCAGTCTAAAATGCATATGTGTCTTTCTCTCTCTGTCTCTCTTTCTCTCTCTCTCGCGCTCTGTACCTATCTGTATATGAGAACTTGACTATGTATAGGTCTGATCAGTGTCACTGTTGAATCATGTTCCTTTTCGTGGTGTTGATTGTTTATGTGTATGTGGGTATGGAACTACGTATATGTATGCATGGTGTGTATGTAAGTGTGCATGTCTAGGTGTGTGTGTG